CCCCACACTCTCCCTGTCACCTCTGATACTCCCCCTTACTTATATATATATATATGTGTATATATATATATATATATATATACATACACACACACACATCATCATGCTTAACTACTCATTTTCCTCCCCAAATATGTAGTATTCAGTCTGTTTATATGGAATATGGTGAGGAGCCATTTCAGCGTATGTATGAATTATTAAAAGACAAATTTTAAGTAGAAGTGTATCCTAAACTGCTTTATGATATTGTACCCAAACATTGCATTTCAATAGGGGATTCAACTTCCTTTATAGGAACAGACTCCTGAAACTCTTACCAGCCCACAAAAGTGGTCCATAGTCATGCAAATAGTCCCATTGTCTTCAATGGGATTGATCAAATGATTAAGGGTTTACAGGATTAGGTTCCAAGTTTGTAAATTGTTCTGAATAAAACTGACAATGCTTGAGCTGTCAGATCAGAAGGAGCTTCTTTTGAATAAAGGTGGGCAGATGTGTGATAAGTCTTAGCTCCGTTGTTAAGATGAGGAACATATTTTCAGCAAAGTTCTTGGCAGATGCCTGAGGCAGCTGGGTGGTTTAAGGTTGTCAGTGTCCGCAATTATAATCTTCACTTATAGTTCTCTCATCCACAAAGCTGGAAAATGAGGCATTTGTTTTCTTTGTTTTGCTGCTCCAGTTCCAGTTAACAAAATGCATGTTACACTAGTTTGGCTGCAAAGAAGAATTCTATGTACACTGGGGACAACACCTGATTCCCATCAGGCTGCAGAACTGGGCTGACAGAATCCAAACATCGTCTGGTCAGTGCAAGCAGAGGCATTCGTCTAATGATTTGGACTTGATGTGATGCAACATGGATGCCATGGATAGTTCAGCTCAATGGGGAGAAACAGAAGAAAAAACACTGTTTAAACACATTTCGTCCCCCCACCTCTCCCTTTTTGAGGACTCCTGACCAATGTAACAGCACAATACATATGCTAACAAACTTAAACAAAGCCTTTGTTTAAGTTTGTTAGCATATGTTTTGTGCTATTAAAGCCATATAAAGAATGAATGTTCTCCCTAGCCGTGTTCTGCTCCTTTAAGGAGCAGAGTGCTGGTCCCACCCTCCAGGGGGGAGGGAGGCTAGTCCCAAGTATTTCCACTACCCCGTACCTGCTAAAAATCTCTTGCCGGTACTGTATATTGGAGGGTACTGCCCTACTTGCACCCCTGATCATCTGAGTCAGATGCCACCCACAGACAGTTGGTTTTCTTTTTTGGTGGTTCAGGTTCTGTAGTTTCCGCATTGGAGTGTTGCTCTTCTAAGATTTCTGAAAGCGTTCTCCACATCTTGTCCCTCTCAGATTTTGGAAGGCACTTCAGATTCTTAAACCTTGGGTCGAGTGCTGTAGCTATTTTTAGAACTCTCACATTTGTACCTTCTTTGCATTTTGTCAAATCTGCTGTGAAAGTGTTCTTAAAACGAACAGGTCATAATCCAAGACTGCTATAATATGAAATATGTAGCAGAATGCAGGTAAAACAGAACAGGAGACATACAATTCTTGCCCCAGGAGTTCAGTCAGAAATTTAATTAAAAAAATACTTTTTTAACGAGCATCATCAGCATGAAAGCATGTCCTCTGGAATGGTGGCCGAAGCATGGAAGGGGCATACAAATGTTTAGCATATCTGGCACATAAATACCTTGCAACGCTGGTGCCATGTGAACTCCTGTTCACACTTTAAGGTGACATTGTAAATAAGAAACAGGCAGCAGTATCTCCCGTAAATGTAAACAAACTTGTTTGTCTTAGTGATTGGCTGAACAAGAAGTGGGCTGAGTGGACTTGTAGGCTCTAAAGTTTTCCATTGTTTTGTTTTGGAGCGCAGTTATGTAACAACAACAAAAATCTACATTTGTAAGTTGCATTTTCACAATAAAGAGATTGCACTACAGTACTTGAATGAGGTGAATTGAAAAATACTATTTCTTTTGTTTATCATGTTTACAGTACAAATATTTGTAATAAAAATAATAATATTAGCACTGTACACTTTGTATTTTGTCTTGTAAATGAAATCAATATATTTGAAAATGTAGAAAAACATCCAAAACTATTTAATAAATTTCAATTGATATTCTATTGCTTAACAGCACGATTAATTTTGTTGAGTTAATTGCATGAGTTATCAGCAATTAATCGACAGCCCTATTAAAAAGGTATAATTTTCTATTAATTTCTACAAGATTTTTCCATAAGGTGAATTATC